CGGCTCCAATGATATAGACGTGATGGGCCCTGTGGAGATCTATCATTTGGTACCAAAACCGTCTGAATATCTCGTTCTAGGGACAAGTTATCAGCCGGCCAGCCATCTGGCCGGGCCGGCCCGCTTGGAAATCGGTCGGCGGAAATCGGCTGGGTCGGTGGTCGGTCGGCGGTCGGCGATTTTCGACCGACCGAAATGGAAGCCTTACTGAAAATTTGGCCGACGATATATCAGTGGGTGTAAAAATTAGATAAGGGTCCCCCTTTATGTGCTTTTCAAGTTCAAAAAGTATCAAAAAATATCAGGGGCTGTTTGTTTGGAATTTTTTGAAAATCGATCAAAGTTGTTAGATTTTCCAAAAAAATGGATTATTAAATTCTCAGAAAATTCGAATTCTCGAAATTTCAACAGAACAATCGAAAAAATCAGAAATTTTGAGAGTAAATTCCCTATAAAAGTGGGCGGAGCCTAAATTGCAGATTGCTATTGTAGGCTCCGCCCCTGACTCCGCCCACTTATTTTCCTTAAAATTTCAGAAATTTTATGAAAATTTCGGTTTTTTTTTGGGATTTTTGAGGAAAATTTTAAAATTTTGGATTTTCCGAAAATTCGATTTTTTTCCGAAAATTTTACAAATTTGAACTTTTTTGGATTTGGTTGGAAACTGATCAAATTTTTCAGAAAAATTCAACATTTTCAGAGGAAAACTTTTGTGAAGAAAAATTGGTTGGAAAAGTGGGCGGAGTCAGGGGTCGGAGCCTGAATTGCAAGATTTTCAAAATTTTCCTGCGAAAATCTCAAAATTTTGAATTTACTGAAAACTGAGGTTAAAAAATAACTCGAGAAAAATTGTATTTTAAATAGCGAAAAAATTCGAAATCTGGAAATTCGGGTTTTCCTCGAAAATGGCCGAATTTTGAATTTTTTGAATAATTTTCAGTTTTTTTTTGAATTTTTTGAATATTCGACAGCACTTCTTTCAATTTTTAAACAATTTTTTTGCGAAAAATTTCAAATTTTTGTACCTTCCCACCACTCGAAACCTCATCATCCACCACAATTTTCACATTTTTCGTTTTTCTCGAAAGTTCGTCTTCTTCTTTTTCTTGACAAATTTCTTGTGGCGTCGCTCCCGACTCGCCGGTTGCCGCTTCTTTTTGCATTGAATTCAAAACTGAGATTTATTTTTTTTTTGAAAAAAATCCCAAAAATTCCTACCTGGATCCTTCATTTTTGAAGCTCAAATACTGCTGAAAATTGATTTTTAAGCTAAAAAGGGATTTTAAAAAATGGGTTTTGTGCAGCAAAATCGGAAAAACTGAACGAAATTGGTCCCGAAATTGGCGCAAAATGCGAAAAGAGCGCTTGCGCGTAGTTTATATCCCGAATCCGGCTCGAATGATATAAGCCTGATGGGCCTTGTCGAGATAATAATAATAATAATAATTTATTACACGTGTGCCTTATCGACAAATGATTTGTCGACAAACGCCCTTTTCGACAAATTACCGACAATTTATCGACAAATTGTCGACAAAAATTGATATTAACCGCCGGAATTACTAGTAAAAAACCGTATCGTTACCATTTTTTTCCCACGACGTCTTCGATGATGGCCAAACTTACCCATGCAAAATTTATAGGCTATCTGGCTTGGTGGCCTAACTTTCCCAAAACAAATTTTTTAGGCCACATCTTTTTTTGCCTTAGAAATGATCTGATGTTCACCTGGTCTGGTTTGTTAAATTATTACGATGCGAAATCGTATGATATGGCGTAATGGGCCTTGTCGAGATCTACCATTTGGTACCAAAACTGTCTGAATATCTCGTTCTGGGGAAAAGTTATCAGCCGGCCAGCCATCTGCCCGGGCCGGCCCGATTGCAAATATGGCTTTTATCGACAAAAAATCGAAATTCTTTTTTTTTCCCGACATTTTCATATTAGTTTGGACTTTTTTTTTTTTGAAAATCTATCAAAATTGTGATTTTCGGAAAAATGAAATTTTCAGAAAATTCGAAATTTCAACCAGAACAATAAAAAAAACCATAAAAATCTAGATTTTCATGATTTTTTAAGAGTTTCAACATTTTCGGTGAAAATTTCAAAGTTTCGAATTTTCTTTTCACATTTTTTTTTGAAAATTCAAGTTTTTGAAAATTACTGTTAATTTCCAATTTTCAAAAATTCTACATTTCTTCAGTACGAGCCCCGTTCGACCCCCAACAATGAAGAGCAAGCGGAATTCAATGAGCTGGTGTACGCGTACAAAGTACACCAACGCATGATGCAACTCTCATTTTCTTCAATCGAACAATTTCTGAATGAACACAAAAATGGGACGAAAACGCTTCGAAAAATGGATCCGGAGGATGTGAAGAAGCTGTCGGAAGTGGAGTTGACTGGATTACTGTACTGGATTGAGATGCAAAAACCGTATGGAGAGATTCCGGATGACGATAAATCCATTCTTTTGCATCGATATTCGGTCAGGAAGCTGAGTTTGGACCATTTCTACAGTGCATCGAAACATCCAGAACACTGTTCGAGACGAGAATTCGTTATGAATAATTACACTTTTGTCCCAAATGATCGAACTGGTTTCGAATTGCCAGAGGATGATGATGTGCAGATTCGAGCCAAGAGAGAGTGAGAAAATGCGCTCTGTTGGACGGGAAATTTGAATTTCTAACTGAAATTTTGGTTTTTTAAAGCAAAATTGTACAAAAAATCGGAAATTGAATTCTCGATTTTTGAAATTCTTAATTTTTGCGTTTTTGGATTTTTTGACTTCTGAATTTTCGAATTTTTAGAATTCAAAATTTCTGTATTTTCGGAATTTTTGAATTTTCCATTTTTTGAATTTCTGAATTTCTGGAATTTTCTGAATTTTCCATTTTTTTGAGTTTTTGAATTTTCAGAATTTTTTGAATTTTTTGAATTTTCCTTTTTTTGAATTTTTGAATTTCTGGAATTTTCTGAATTTTCCATTTTTCAAAATTTCGGAATTTTCAGAATTTTTGTATTTTTCAATTTTGGAATTTTCCGAATTTTCAGAATTTTTGAATTTTTTTCGAATTCCCGCCAAAACTGAAAACTCTGAAAAATAGCGATTTTCAAGAAAAAACTGATTTTTTTACAACTTTTTGTGCAAAATTTTTAGGTCTTTTTCGGGTTTTCAGCTATTTTTGAAGCTTTTTTCCGATTTTTTCCGGGTTTTTTCGTCTGAAATTCGTAGGAAAACTTGTATTTTGTAGTCTTTTAAAGAAGTTTTCATCTGCATTTTGACGTGATTGTGTTTAAACAAAACTACAAACTACTAGGTTGTCTACAGTAATCTACAGTAATCAAACACCGTTCCATCAAATTTCAGACAAGAAAAAACCAGAAGAATCGAGAATTTAGAAAACCAAATTTCTTTCCAGATGCTTCTCTCGCACATTCAATCGATTCTGGAAGAATGTGATCAAACCGTTTGGAGCGTTGAAAGTCACCGATGCGGAGATTGTCTTCTTGCATGTCATGTTGCTATGGAGTGCTTCGAGTAAGTACCCGAAATTGGCTTAAAAACGGCCCAAAATAGGCCGATTATGACCCGAAACGGCTCAAAATAGGCTCAAAATGCCTCAAAATAAGCTGAAAATTACTAAAAATAAACCTAAAATGGTCCAAAATAGGCCTAAAACGGCTTAAAATGATCCTGAAATCGGTCTAAAATGACCCAAAATAGCCTCAAAATAACCCAACAGTGGTCTAACTGGCTGGAAATGACCCGAAATAAGCCTAAAATGACTCAAAATGACGCAAAATAAGCTGAGATGAGCTCAAAATGGCTTAAAATGGTCCAGAAATAAACCTAAAATCACCTAAAGTAGGTTGAAAATGACTCGAAATAGGGTTACAACGACTCAAAACAGGCTCAAAATGGTCCCGAATTAGGCTTAAAACGCCCTAAAATAAGCTCAAAATTGGCTTGAAATGACTAAAAATAGGCTTAAAATGACCAAAAAATGAATTTTCCAGACAACTCGCACGTCACCGCTGAAACCGTCAAAACGATGACGAACCGCCGAGAATGGGCACGAACTCGTCTCTCGACGTGGTACCATGACCATAGTCTCGAGAATCCCGTGGAACGTCTTCAGAAGATTCTGGAGCTCTTGAAAGAGATTGAAATCGTTTGCGACATGCACTGTGAGGATTTCGTCGTCGCCAAAATGTACGAATTCTGTGATATGAGCAAATTCTTCTACGAAACGCTGTGCTATGCGCCATGTAATGCGGATAAGGATCATGTCGATCCGAGTCTTTTTGAGCAGTTTAAGAAGTATGCGACGAGAGGTAAGAGAGACGCAGAGAAACAATTTTTAAAGAATAATTTCTTTTCAGATGGCTCCAAACCCCGCCCATCAGATGACACGACTCCTGAAGAATCTGCTCCAGAAGGCCCTGTGAATCGGTTCGCTGGAGATATCGATCCGACTCGTCTGGTCCTGGATCAATCCAATTTGACAGCGGTGATGGCTCCACTGCCAGATGATAAGGGATTCGATTTGAATGATTTGCAATAGGACCTTTTATTGGAAATTTCTTACAATTTGATGCTTTTTATGTATTCATGTCATATTATTATTATTACAAACAAATGAATCTCGTGCCGAATTTGAACAAAATTGTTTCAAAAAATTTGTCTTTTTGACATACTTGTAACGGGCCGGGCTTTTTCCGGAATTTGGGAGGCCCGGCCCCGGCGGGCCCGTCATTTCACTAGTTTCGAAATTTTTAAAAAACACATAAGGGGGGACCCTTATGTGATTTTTTTCGAGAGCTCAAAATTTGGCTCAAAAATACAGAATTTTTGACACCGGGCCTTCCGGGCCGGGTTATATNGNTGCTCCAGACGGTAGCCGTACTCCAGTATGTTGTATTAATAATGGTTATACAGAGGAAGCAATATCAACAGTTTTTTTTTTTCACGGGAGTCAAAAATGTTGGACTTTTCTAGGCCATGTGCTTGTCCACGTGGATTCCGAGGCGAGAAGAGTTAGACCCTTGCAAGAAATTCCGGCGCCCTAAATTTTGAAGTGATTTACGAGCTTAAAATTGAAGTCGCACTGAATTTCCTGCTTTCGCAAATTTCTTGGTTTACT